TTTCATGCAGCATGTTTGAAACTGCTGCAGCCTTTGCAGCGACAACTTACACAATTAAGCCAATTTCACCTAAGTAAGTTGGTCATTGAAGTAACCTTGATTTCTGCTTTTTTACAAGAGCCTTTGAGATAATAACAAATATCCAGCTGGACTACAAGCAAGCATTAATAGATAGTGTCTGGTGCCTTGTGAGAATGTATCTCGCATGTTGCAAACCCTCCCCCTTCCTTATTGTCATATCCTATACTTCTCCTAAATACACAGATTCTGTTACCTTTCCCTTAAGGAAAATCTGGAGAACAGATCCGTATGAAGCACAAATCTCTACATTAGTCCAAATTAATTGTAGGTAAAGAATTTATCATTTCCTGGTCCACATGAACCTGTATATACCTGAGGGGCAGTACACAACATCCCCATACTGATTGCTCAGAGCTGAAGCTACAGTTTTTACATACCCAATGACTACCTACAAGTCATTGCTCTTTCAGAAAAAGTCATTTGGGTACTAGACAACCTAAATAGGAAGCCAGCACTGCTGCTGTGACACAGAGCTTCTCAGAGCAAGGCCAGATGCAGTCACTGATTCAGTGAATAGACAGCAGTGCTAAATCAAATAGTTAATTGCCTTACATTACCCATGCCAGGAATTGTTTTGGTTTCTCACATCTCAGTGCAAAAATACAGTAACGAGAAGAGACTTCCCTAAAAGTATTTTTGTGTGTGTGTGTGCCTGTTTCCTCCTCAATATTTCAGTCTTGATCTGCTCTTCCAGTGGGCAGGGCCTCTTCCATACAGATGACTCATAATGAAGCATTCTCCAAATGCAAGGTGAATAAGTATCTGCAGGGGATTTAGGCTGACATCAGTCATTCCAGATCCTCTATATTGGATATGAACTTGGGGCAGGAAAGAAATGAAGCACTTGTTCATTGAATCATTCAGACACTTAACTCATCTTAGCCATACCTCAGAAGGTAATTACACTCCCAACAGCAAAAGTGAGCTGAAATCAATTTTGCCAGATGAGTCCAGATGAAAGGTATGATAAAGGCACTGGGAGCTATAGGAGTCTTAGTTTCCATAACCAGACCTTGTTACAGTCACCATCAGGCTTTCTAATGCAAGTGGAGTAATCCTTTCAAGGTGATTGAGGAATCCTGCCTAGCACAGACTACAGCTTCTTGCACTGACCCCAAAGGAATGGGAGAGATCATACAATACACTCTCTCTGTGGCTGCTGCCCTCTTGTGTAAAATCAGTCTGGGCCTTATGCAGTCTCAGTTCTGTGCTGAGTTACTCTAGAAAGAAATGCATTTATCTTCTGTTAAGCTATTATTTTTCAGACACAGGGGCAAAGTGGCCCTGTGTTTTTAAGGACACGTTACAGTCACTCTCTCAAAAATAAGATGAAACAAAGCTGTGTTTGGTGTACAGTTAGGACATGTTTGTATGGGCCTTTTCACTCACTGTGGCAACTACGGACTCAGTCGGGTCCTGCAGACTGGGCTCCTGGCTGGTCTTTCCCCTTTCCCACAAGGTCACTTAGATAGCTTCCAGCACTGCCCACGGATGTGTGAGGCTGCTTGTGCCTTGAAAGTTGCTTACTCCACTGGTTTGAGTCATATCTACCAACTGCACTGATGACCTCTTGCAATTGGACTTTGTCTAAACCTAAGTCTTCATGAATTGGGACTTGTAGCCAGAGCAAAACTTCACTCAAGCACCACTGAGAACCAGCTTCCAGCCCTGAGGATTAAATCAACCTAGGCAATTCCTGACAGAAATTTGCTTAAACTCATCTAAAATACTCCAGTGAAGAGGCTTCCAGGCCCCCTAATTCATCAAAGTCTTTCCTCAGCCTCAGAACCACTGAATATGTAAGCTTAAATTTTCTTTGCTGCAAGTTGATTTCTTGCTGTCTGAAGCCTATGAACAAGAACAAACAATTTTACTGCCTTCTTTATAACAACTTCCTGCTGGGAAGAGGTTAAGTCCTCCTTCCCATGTCTATAGTTGTTTTTTTGTGGGTTTTTTTTTCCAAAAGAGAAAGACTGAATACAGTAAATTCCTCCCCAGCTTCCTCATAGGTCATGCTTTCTAACTCCTTTACCATACTTATTGATCTGCTTTGGGCCCTTTCCAATTTACCCACATCTTTCTGAGCTTGACAGAGCACTCACGGTGCCAAGTAAAGATGAATAATTACCTCCCAGGTCCTACGGATTGAGCTGTCCCATTAATATGGCCCAGGATCACGTTTCCCTCTTTCCTTAAGGAAAAAAAACCCAAAACACACAAGACCCTACCACCTACCTCCTGCCCCAGGCTTCCTTTATTTAGTTTAGAAACACATTAAACACCCTCCAGATCCTTTGCAGCCGAACTGGTGTCGGCAAGACACCTCTTGTTTTTTTATAAATTCCATTTTCCAAGTGGAAATTCGCGTTACTCTAACAAATTATATAATTCCACTTTTTGTCTTGCGCTTTCCAGATCATTCTGAACGTGGCTCTTTTATAATGCCAACAATCACAGCCTGTGGGCTCTCATTAGTACTTTTATGTGTATACTCTTGTTTCACTGAAGGATTAATGAAAAAAAAGTCATAGAAAGGGATCCATGACATAAGGCTATAATACTGCTGGGATGTAGAATGTGATTTTTTTTTTAAAAAAATACCATTTTCTAAAGGATCTAACCCTGCAAAGTCAGACCATAATGATAAATGCCTTCAAAGGCTTGTAAGAAAATTCCTTCCCTGGTGTCTCTGAGTACAACATTAATAGTGTTCCTATCAAAGATAGACTCTTCTTGCAATAAAGTGTGGTATGTTTTCTGTAAGGAAATACCGAAGCTCACAGGAGACCTGTCATTAATGATAACAGCCAACTTTCAATCTCGTGGGGATATTTTCCTGCCTAGAGAGATTTGGTGAAAATTCTTATGTTCCCACATCAAATAATGTGTGACAGAGAGCGACAAGAATTGCTCTATCAGAATGGCCTTAGTGAGGACCAAAAAAAACCCAAAAAAAGATAAAATATCCCTATCTCCCTATCTCAGGTAGGTGAAACTTCTGATTCATACTGTTAGCCTAAAGGGTCTGTAAAAACATATTAAGAAATGTGAAAATGGTACTGAAGAATTCACAACACTTTTCATGTGCATTGTGAATGTGCTGTACCTCCATCAGAAATTATTTTAGTTATGGCTTTTAATAAAGCTGCCTGAATGTTTCACATCAAATGACTCCTCTTTGGAAAACTGACTTTTAAAGTCAGCAGCTTTGGGGAGCTTTTGAGGAAAAGTCACAAGCTTTCTTGGCTTTTTAGTTGGTTGGACTTTGGTTGGGCGTGGGTTTTTTAACACCCTCAGCCTAACTAGACAGGTCTTGGTGTTCATATTTCATGTCTGTCAAAAAATATTCTGACATGTAAAATTACAAAAAAAGCCACACAGAACTGTAGCTGCAAAGAGTATTTTTTTATGTCCCTAGTACTCCTTTCACTGAGTTTTAATTTTGGCCTTATGTCCTTTCTTTTTTGCTTGGCTTGTTTCTCTGCTCCCTTTTACAACATATCAAGACCACAACATATGCAGGGCAGCAAACAGTGCTCTGGTCTGCAAGTAACAGTTGCGTACAAAATAATCCCAGTTTATCTAATTGTGCCTGTATTGGGTCTATTAAATAAAAATAATCATCATGATACCTATAAAGACCTGTACTTTATTTTGTGTGTCCCCTACAGTGGCCACTTCTGACAGGGAATGACTCAGAAAAGTCATTTTGAGTCACTGTAAGGGAAGAGAATAATAATTTTTCTATGAACAGACATTTTCGTTTTTCTGAGTAGTGGATTCACTGCCCTCTACTGCTTGAGATGAGCACTGAGCCATTTGGGAACTGCTTAACTTCTCCCAACAAGCCAACTCTAATACAGCCTGACTTGGAAAACCTGTAATCAGAAAATAGCAGTCTCACCTGCCACAGAGAACTAAACTTTGTACTGGTAGTAAAGCTTCCCTTTAAAATAACATGGAATTACAGTGAAGGTCTTTGTTATTATCTCATTAAGGCAAAACTACATTATAATGCTTTGTACAAAGGGCACAGCATGTGTGTGCACCTACTCAACAGGAGTAAAAAAAAATCAGGAATTATCAAGACAGACAGACCGAATTCCACCACCCTACTTTTAATACATAATCTATCTTGTTCACAGAGATATTTGGGCTTCCTGGTGGTGATCAGCATGATACATAAATCCAGATTTTAAAAGTGCAAGCAGCTTTTCAACTGTGCTTAGTGTACAGGGGGATTTTCAGCACAGCATAGACTGTACTGAAAAAAAAACCCTTTGACTTGCATATAAATAATTCATGTATTTAAGATATAGTATCACAATGTAATGGCACTTAGGTCACTGAGCTCATGAGAAGCACCACAACAGGAACAGGGGGAGTAACAAGGTGAAAATGGGAAGGATATTTTTGTCTCCAGATAGCAGCTGGTGACAATATCATCACGCCCATTCCACATGGCAAATATGCAAATCCCAATTCAACAGCTTGCTGAGCACTTCTCACTCTGTTCAAAATACACAAGTAGTGTCACACTGCAGCTTCAGATGCTCCGGGGATTGCAGTGACTTGCCAAGAGAAACTGCTGAGGAAGAGAGGCAGATAGCACCAGCCCATTGATAATCCTCAGCATGCACTCTACACTGAGGGCTGCTTTTGTGCATTTCTTGTAAAAACACATTTCTGATGTACAGTTTTCTTTGAAGGAATATGACCCCCACATTAAAAAGAAAAGAATGGTTGCCATACTTCAAAACAATCACCAGCTGTATAAAGCTAGAGATAGCAGTTAAACTAGTCAAAGTACAATTTTAATAGTGGCAGCTACATTTTCATATGTATGATTTATGATAATACCATAAAATCTTTATCATATTTTTTCTATATCACAGGAAAGCAAGAATAACAGGGTAGAAGACAAAAAAAAAAAAATCCCACATTTACCCAGTGTTCTTTATATATGTTGTTCACACATCTAGTTTTAATGACACACATGTATGATCACATACAACCACATATTACTTAGAATTACTTAATTACTTGGAATTACTTAACAGAAAAATAATTACTTAGCATTTTCCCTCAGTCACATTTCTTTTACCCAGTTCTTTACTTCTTGCTTGGGCACTCAGAACAAGTATTATGGCAAATATGTTTCTAAAACAGCTACAGGGAAGGACTCCGGGATTAGTAAGATGTTTACAAATATTTTGGAAATTAGTGGCTTTTCAAAGAAATCTTTATCCTTAACTAAATTCAGGCTTGCACAATCACATACACACAATACAGCTGGTTTTTGTAAGATTGTGCATTTTGTGCTGCCAAGTGAACCTTCAGCTAGTCAGAGGAGGCCTGAGGAAATGATTGTACAGTGACAACTTACAGACTGCTGGTGTCTGTTTACAGCACAATGGTGTTGCTTAATCCTATTTGTCTCCTGCAGCAGCATTTCAGTAAGAAGATGCTGCTTTTTTTCTTAAAGAAGAGCGTGGTCTCACTATATTATTTGAAGACTTTTTAATATGTAGAATATGTTATTGTCTGACATGACTGGAAACTACTGTGCACAGAAAACAGAAGCCTGCTTATCTAGAGGGGCACGAGAGACAGACATTGGCATAAAGCTAAAGAAAAAGTTTGCAGGGTCAGTTTCTAATGGCATTCATCAAAATTTTGAAGTTACTGTAAAATAGGAGATTGCAAATGGAATAGAAATATAAGCCAATTCAAATGATCAAATATCCTTGTACTAACCATTTTATATGTTCGATTGATGAGGACTAAAATTTCAGGTCTGATGTCGTGCCTCCTTGGTTTTCAGCTCTTTCGACTTTTTTCTTCAACATACCCAGCCAGTGTAGCAGGAGAAGCTCAAGTGATGCAGGATTTTATACCTTGCTGTAAACAAACAAAAAAGAGCTTTCACCTCAGTTAAGGCTTCCCTTTCTCAGGTCCAAAAGTTAACTTTGGAGCTTACAGTCCTTTATTATTGCCTTGGACTAGGCATTTGTATAATAACGTATTTGTATTTACATTTTACAAATGGAAACACTATGTAACAGATTTACGTCATTATTAAACAGTTAGTGTCGATCACATAGAAACTTTTATTTATTTAGCAGTTAGCAGTTCTAATCTCCCTCTGGACAACAGGTAACAACATGAAAACAAATTCAAGTGCAGAACAGTACCTTACAAGTAGAGCACGAGACTTTCAGTGGAAATCACACCGAGGAAGATAACTGAGAATACATTAAGACAACTGACTGACCAGGTGTACGCACATTTTAAGAAGCCTTTTCAATATCCTAAATTGCTGGGTGTATCAACAAAAATGAGAAGGAAAAGGTTCATTGCCATCTGAACGTGCAGCCAGCAAAAGCCAGAACTGAGTACTAAACCCTCAACCAGTTGCTTGTTCGGGAAACAGTGTGGGGATTTGTTTAATCCCAGAAGGAAACTGTCCAGGAACTGTGGAGAGGCAGCCCGGGATTCCTGCCCGGAGACAGCTGTGAGGGGGATCGAGTGAGGACCGCGCCTTCGCGGCAGGGTACAGCGGCACACTGGGCACATCTGGGAAGGAAGAGGGGACTGCCACGGGGACACTCCTCGGGGGCTTCCTCCGTGAGACCACGGGAGGTGCGGAGGCCCCTCAGAGGGGAGAGGGACAGGACAGTTTCGACTCCTGCGACGGGTGAGGGGCTGGTCCGTGTGGAGCCGCTCCAGGAGTGAATATCACAGTAACGAAAGGCCTTTAGCAGAACCCTATTGCAGACTTATGGCCGCATTCCCTAAGTTTACAATAAATAATCCCTCACGGTGATTCCCGCACTGATGCGGTCGCCGGTCCGCCCTCAGAGCCGGCCGCCAGGGGGCAGCGCGGAGCTGCGCAGAGGCGCGGGAAGCGGACACAGCCGCGCCCCCCCATCCCTCAGATAATTCCCTGAACCTCAGCACAGCAAACGCCCCCCGTGCCAGCACCGCCAGCCAGCTGCTCCCTCCCTGCCCTATATTCAAAATACACTTAGTACGTAACGCCGATTTCACCAATAACTCTGCGAAAAGTACCCGTGTGCACAGCAGTTTGTCCGGAGTGGTACTTCCCCCAGCATACTTGAACGGCTTCTCATAGTGTTAATAAGAAGCCAGCATCAGTATGCCAGTGTATTCCAAAGCATTCTAAAGGCACGTCTCAGTGTCAATAATTTTATTTCTTCTGAATAACAAATGTCAAAGTAGAGAGTGTTATTCTTCCTGCTATTCCTGGCTCAGTGCACTGGGTGGATGAAGGAATCTCCCTAGCTCAAGCTGTTCAGCCACTGCTGCCTATGCTTCTGCTTTGCCACCAGCTAGTGCGCCCTGTCTTACCTTCTGCACGACGCAAGACTGCTCTTTCCTTATGTTACTGGAATGAAGTGATCGCTTCCAGTTGCTATGTTTTTTTTACCCCTTGTTCAGACAGTGTAGCTGTTCCCAGTTTTACTCACCTGAAGCCAAACAGGTTATGTCACAGCTAGCTGGACAATATAAAAGCAGAACTAGAACCCAAGGCAAGTTAAGACCAGCATCAGTTGGCCCTGACGAGGACAAACAGCAGTCCTGTCTCCAATTCAGAACTCATTGCAGGAGCTGTGTCAGACTACAGCAGAAGTGGACCCAGTGTCCTTAATTTAGCTCTGTTACCTCATCTAGCCCTTACTTAAGCAAAATCATATTGGCCCCAACTGCTGTGCCAACATTGGCAACAGCTGCTAAAACCAGTGTTACCTGGGCTGCCTCTGAAAGTTCAACGAGTCCAGAAAGTCTCCCATGCTTCATAGATATATTATCCACTGAGAGGCAAACAGTTCCTCTTAAAACTGCAGGAGAAATGACATTGAGTAAGTTAATTGAGAACACAGGTTTAAACAATTCTGTTCAGACATTTTTCCTACCTATAAATAAAACCCAGAGATTAAGGGCAATGGAGTTATGTGTTTGCCGGATGGTTCTACGTGAGGAAAAAATAGGCTTTAGAAGGCTTCCCAGCAAAGCCAGCACTTTAGATACCATTCCATTTTTCTGCTGTAAACTGTGACTACTATTCTTAGCCCACCTGACTACTGTCTCTGATGGCTTTGCTGCAGCACCCGTTCAGTTTAGGCACACTTTGTACTCAAGTACAAACTGTAGCTGTAAAGGTTGAATCTGTAACATCAAGTTTTCCCTAGTTTCCCCATGAAGGACATGATGGTTATTTGTTGGGTTTTCCTGGTGTTGTCACGTGTTTAGCATAGCAAGTTGTCTTTTGGCACCAAACTGTGCTTGGAACTCTCTCCTCTCTCTTGCATCATCACTCATGATCAAGAGCCTTCTCTGACATTTTTAATGGCTAAAGCACTTGTTTCAAGAGGTTGAGAGAAATTAGAACATTGAAAGCCAAATACTGGGTCGTCAGTTTTTATCCCAGCTCCCTCTCACCCACAAAAGACATCCAAGTCACAGTATCTTTGTGTTTTCCACTTCTATACAGAATTTTTCTTCCTCACTGAGTAACAAATATTCTCACCTATTGCAAAAAAGTCATGGTCTCCCCAGCACAGCCTTATATAGCTCTTTGAGTAGAATCTCTCTCTAAAAATAGAAATCTCTTTGACATTGAAGCTCCAGGCAGCATGGAAGCTGTTGCATTTCAAGCTGAAGCTTTTGGAAAGCGTGCTCTGTATTTCCTTTACAAGTGTCCCACAAATGTGCAAAATGCACGGCCTGTCCTGTCATGAACTTTGAGTAAATGAGATTTTGTTTGCAGCCAGTGCTGTTGCAGCAATAGCTTCTTAGAAATAAGTAATAAAAAAAGAATGCAGCACTGGCAAAAGGTGCTGGATTTACAGCTCTGCAAAAATAACACCCTTTCTTTTCTCCCCCTGCCCTCAGACACAAGTGCCAGCCTTTCCCAGACTGCCTGACTGGGAAAGACAGCCTGAGTTAAGCCCAGCACTTGCACTGAGGACAGGACAGATGAAACCAAGCAAACACATATCTCACACATCAGGGTAGCAGTTTTTTCAGTTCTCAGGCAGACATTCCTCTTGGGAATACACAGAAAGGAAAGGGTAGGTGGAACAAAAATCCTCTTGGTCCAGCTTTTGAACATGTTGACAACTTGCTCTTACTAAAGCCAGCAAAATAACAAGCCAACTCTGCCAGTGTGCCTGAATTGGAGACTGTAAGGATAGGAGGTCTAATTCTTCAGAATATTAAGTCCAGGACCGTTAAAAAGAGCTCAGCACCTCTGTGTCAGACTTACTCAGACATGACTGTACAAAGGTAACAGTTGGACTATTGACATGAGATCCAGAAATCTGGCTCAACTTCCACAGTTACTGTCAGAGTAAAACAGCATTTCCTCAATGTTCTGACTACTGCTATCTATTTTTCATGCCAAAAAAGTTCTTCTTCCAGCACTGTAATATTCCCCTGGCAGCATATTTAACATGAATTTGAAAGTGCTGATATTTTCAAATTAAGACATACAAGTGAGTAGTGATAGTAAAATCCAAACGAGGAGATGGGGATACGATTTTAGCCTGGCTTGAGAGAGATTCATTCTGCCTTCAGTTCCAGGCCAAGTCTTATGCTCCACTTGTAAGATACTTAATTTTTACTCTGGTTGGCCCCACACTGGAATTCTGATACACAGCCTTACACAGTATTTTATTTAAGAGCTGAAAGGAGCTCACAAATACGAGTCTCCATGTCAATTTTATGAAACATGCACAAATTGAAAAAGAGGTTCCAGGATTGCCTACACAAGAAAGGAGTGAGGGGGTGTTAGAGTGATCTTTGCTATAGAGACACTTATTCCTATATATTTTATAATTATCTTCAGGGAAAGACATTTCAGATTAATCCACTGAAAAAGAAGGAAGAGTTTTATGTGATGGTTTGCATCAATTTAACTATGACCATTTTAAAGCTTGATAAAACTAAAATTAGGTAAATTCTAGATATATTCTGGAAAAAAAATGGAGATCGATGATTAAGGGCTTTAATTGTTTGATTAAAAGCACAAGTTAAAAAACCTGCTCAGTGTTGTTATCAGGCAAGTGGCAAAGCCCACAGAGGGAATGCTTTTGTCTCTTAATTCCCTGGAGATTTTGGAAACATCTTTCAAGAGTCTCAAGTCACCATTTCCCCCAACATTAGGGCCTCCAGCACAAGTACAGAAACCTTGTTTCCTCTTCTGAGAGGAGAAGTAGACCACGGACCTCCCTTGGCTGGCTTGGATATCCTTGGTGTACGTCCACCCTCTGAGCCATCCTTGCTCCTTTCCTTCAAGCTTTGCTTGAGCCACCAGGGAGAGGTGGGGCTGATGAACACCCAAATTCCCTGATGAATCACAAAACAGGAGCTGTGCAGGACAGCAGCCAGGCGACACGGGAAGGCCTCTACACGAACCTACGTGTTGGCTCTCACAAAACATTCGCCCGGTTTGGCAGAGCTTTCCTTTCTGAACACCAAGATGGGCTGGCCTGAGATCGCCCTCAGTTTTAAAAGGTTGTTTCAAAACATCACACCCTAAGCATGAGGGATGCTAAGGGAATTTGCCAGGTGAAATCCTGGTAAGTACAGCTACCAGCTCTCACAGAGGACCATTTTCTTTAGTCTAATAAACAGTATTTTTATTTAATTGAACAGTCTAGCTGAAGATGACTGCAAGCAATCAGAGCTGGAACTCAGTCCCCGTATTGAGCTCGCAGCTGAATTCAGACTACTCTTTGATTCATACTTCTCCAATGATTTGGAATTCTGTGCTTTCCTTTGAAGATTATTAGGCATTGGGCACTTTCCTTGTGCATAACACAATAACTGTTTAATGCATATTATCCAGATGTTGCATTTACCAGATGCTCACGTTATTTGGTTTCTTTGAACAATCTGTCCCGTTTGTGCTAGTGCAGTCCCCAGAGCCCCCCTGCCCTGTAATCTGAGACCTGGCCCCGTTGTGCTGAGCATTGTACACACAGGAACTCTCACAATAAACACAGTGCCACTGCTTTCTCCCCTGGGAGTGAGGCAAAGCTTCCAGTTACCTCTTCATGATCCTGCTAGTGTTGCCTGAACTGCTGCCTCAGCAGTGAGGCAAGTAGCAAGAAATACATCACTGGGCACACATTTCAGGATAACCTTGACATCATTGCCAGTGATAGCTCCAGCCCTCGCTGAAACAGAAACCTGCAAGACGGCATTTGCTCCTTCTTGCTGCCTTTGCTATTCCTTGTGGGTGGGTGATCATATGCCATGCCTGTGTATTTGCAAGCTCATGACATAATGTTAAGGGATTGTCATAAACAATACCATTTCGGGGAATGGACTGAGGAGGTCGAACATTTCAACTGTCACTGGAGTACATTTGCTTTAAGGATTAAATGTGTTGTCTCAAATCCAGATTTGTAATGAGAACCGTCCTGCCTTTCCCTCTCTGCCTGCTCCCCGTGCCCCCTGCTTCAGGAGAATTTGGGCAGATGACCAGTGGAGTGAAAATGAGACAGGGGAGTCACACAGGACAGAGTAATTGATACAGGATATGAAGGTAGGAATGAGTGGATTTGACAAAGTAGCTACACTAGCAGCTGAGTGGCTCCTTTGCCTGCTAGTAGGATGGATTTGTAGCTCGTATGTCAGTAATTAAGAAGTCAGTCATCTCCCCCACTCCCACCACCCCAAAAAACCCTCACACCCCTTATGTCCCTCCCCAAATGTTGCTTAATCTGAAAGGCAGGTCACAAGCCAAAGTTTCAAATTACACAAACATACTTTGGACTAAACTGAGGAAAGTACAAAGACCTCCAACAAACTCTTTTTTTCTACTTTTCCCCCTGTTTTTAAAAAACTGAAGGTTTTAGTTACTTTTCACATCCATCTGCTGCTTTCTACCAGCAGCCACAAGTCCAGGCTAGAAGTGTTGTTCTCTTTGTGACAGTGTGCACATACCCCATCATTCTCTTAGCACCACCATAAGATATGTATTTCAGATGGCAGCTCTTGCTTTTTACTTTTCATTTACCTGTCCTTTGATTGCAATTTTGGTATGAGAAATGTGCCACTTTTTCTACTGGAAACACCTAGTACATGGTCTTAGGACCATACTAAAAGTGCAAGCATAGAGCAGTTCCACTGCTGTATCAGTGACAAGAGCTCAGCCCAAGATTAGGCAGTGGATATTCTTATCACAAGAACTGTCTATTGCAGCACTTCACATGTTGCCTTCGACTGTTCAGTAGCAGATAATACAGACATTTTAATTCTCTATTTAGTCTCCCTTAACCTTATCATCACAGAAATTCTATTCTCCAGACCATAAGCTATACTGTAGTTAAAGACTTTTGATGCTACTGAAGCACTCAGTAGAGATGCATTACTTTCTCAGTCTCAAAGAAGTGTTGACAATTCAATTATCTCTCTGCACAGGGGGGCAGTGGGAAAGAAAAAATGAAATGTAGCTACAGTGTTCATGGAGAGATCAAAGTTGGGTAGGATTTGAAAATAAGCCAGGAAGCATAGAGCCAGGGCAAGAGGGCAAGAAGGAAAGGGGAATGGAAATGGAGCAGACAATGCATAGCCACCCTACTGAAAGGCAATGGCATCATTCCTCTCCTTGCCACACGTTCCCTAATTCACTGGTAAAAAAGGCAATCAGCACACCATTTTAGTTCTGACACATCAACAAGTATGTGGCCGTACGCCCCAAAAAAAGGACAATCCAGACCCAGGCTATGCACTGGCTGTCCATACAAAATGAACAACAGACTCTTAAATGCTGCACACCCGAGCTCACTATTGGGAAACCTGCTGTGCCGCCAGCATACCAGATCAATATTTCAGAGGTCATTATCTCATCCCTTCTTCAGCTGCTGACTTTGGACTGCTGCCAGAAAAAGGTAACCACTAGAAAGATGATACACCAGTACATTAGGCAAGGCTTTGGGGAATTTGAGCAGGCCTTTCTTTTCAACAAGACCAGTCTGCTCTCTGGTTCCAAACGGCACAAGTGCTCCATCAATATATAAATGGTCAAACAGGTTCTCCATCCCTCCCACACCAGCACGTACAACACAAACTGTATTTGTCAAATAGACTATGAAGAGAACTGAACCTTTATATAAATACTCCTCACGTTGTGGGAAGGAGGAGACAACAGCCTCCAAGCTGAAGCAGAGTAAAGAAGTGTGATTTCACGTGTACAGTGTAATGGAAGGACTAACTGGAGACAGAGTTGAACAACAAGCAAACCAATAACTACATGGTACCATCTCCACTCTGCAAGAATGTCCCATGAGCTTTTACATGAGCAAACCATGATTGAAGTCCTGCTTTAGTTTTGAGTTGGTAAGCAAAGCCAGAACCTTTGCAATTGGACCAGTGGATTTTAAAGTTAAAAAGTACCTTTGCTTTATATGGCTTAACATCCTGTATCTCATATTTGGTCACGAACTACTATATTATACCACTGTTCAACTTTTCTAATGATGGTCTTTGTGATAATGGCAGCACTCCCATCTACTCAGGCAGTAACATTCTATCTCCCCTTCTGCAAAGACTTTTTGAACATATTTGCTCTTTTCTTCTTTGATTTCTGTTATATTTTCTCATAACCCATTTAGAAATATTAGTTTTACAGACAGATATGAAAGCCATCTGTACAACAGTGGATGTCTCTAGGAGTTTTCCCTTAAGACCAGAGGGAGAAAAGAGTGTGCTGAACTACCCAATTCCCAATATCATTATCCTGCTACTTGGGAAGAATTTGGTGACAGGAAATATTGTGTGCTTACCTTGAAGCCAAATATACTTAATTATTCAAAGCTTCCTCTCAGGAAAAGCATTTGGGAGATAGCTTAGAAGCATCATTGTTTAACCCAGTTAATTAACAGACATTTGCATGGTCTCACTAGTCTTACTGTGTAAATCCTACACAAACTCCCTGAAGAAGGGGACACAGAGACTTTAAGGTAAAACATAGAAAACTGTATTTTGCAATACTCATACCATCTGTATTTATACTCTCTCTATTTATAGTAGCTAAAGTCACAACACTTGAGCTTTAGCATCTGACATGTTCTGGGGCAAGGCTCCTCGTTGCATTCCCATACATTCAGAGGAGCTAGGAGGGCTTAGATCTCACACTCCTGGTGAATTTGCCCTGTCTGAAGGTTTTAAATTGAGGCTTTTATGCTGACTGATTCTGAAGGAAAGTAGCTTATCTGTTGGAGAAATTCAGTATAGACAGGATGGCAACCGGAATCAGCTTGACGGAAAGCCACCTCCAGGAGGCACAAATGCAAATAGCTTGAACCACATCATGCAGCAGCCTCATGTTCAACTGCAGGCATGCTAATGAAAAGAGACTAGAATTTGGTATACCAGCACTAAAGAGGCCCTTTGTAAGGGTAAAATGCACACTGCCATCATGGAACCTGTATACAGAATACATACAGACAGGTAATTCATCCCACTCCAACTCCAGTCAGTGACACTGTTATCTCAGTAGTATTTCACCCATCATGCTTAAGATTAATTCCTTAAACTTGAGCCCTGTCCTGCCAAAAATGCCGTCAGCTTAGACCAGAACCCGGTATTTCCAATGAATATATGTGGATGCAAAGCCCAGACAGGAGTTCTAAGCAAGAACATTTCATAGAATCATAGAATCAGCCGGGTTGGAAGGGACCTCTGAGACCATCAAGTCCAACCCTTGATCCAGTACCGCCGTGGTTACTAGTCATGTGGTTTTGGAAACCTCTCAAGGAATTCCTAAACTATGCTACCATTACTCGGTAAAATCTGCAAGTGGCTCAAATTCCCTTTCAGGAGATCTGATAACTGTCTGCTCATCTCTTTCTGTTTACTGACAACTACTTTCTCTTTATATACTTTCTCTTTACATACATATGAAAAAAGAGAAAATCAAGAACACAAAGGTCTTTCAGTTTTCCACATATATGGCCACAAAGCCTGAGAAGCAATTGCAGCTTCCCTTGTTTTGTTACCCCGACATATGGACCAGGAAAACGAAATACTTTCTGACCTTTGATTTTCCCAGCTGTCTGTCTGAAGCTTGTCCTGGTCTCCAATATCCACGTGTCACCAACCTGCTGTGAAGACTTTTGCTTTCTTGCTGAAGACAGCATTGTTATTCTGGAGTTGGAACAGGAGTTGCATGTTAACCATGTAATAGAAAGATATCTGCTGTATAGACAGATTTAATGCAAAATAAACTGTTGTAAACCTTCAAGAAGCCTACATTTATCAACCAGTAAAACAACTGGTCAAGCTTTATTATGGTTTTGAGAGGGTGTTTTGCCTTTTAGCTTCAGATTCCCTCATTATTTTAAGCAGACAGTCCAGAAGTTGGTGTCATTACATAGCTTCCAAACCATGATGCAGGTCAAAACATCTTAAATACAATTATTCCAGGAAAGGCCTTGATTCCTTGTACAAAATGGGATCTGCAGGCTGATAAGAGGCCCTATCTTTGTTTCCAGAGGTGTTGATTTAAAGCTGAAAACTCACTGTTTGTTTGCAGGTAGAGTTGACAAACCATAGACATTTAAAACTAGAAATACAGTTTTAAATAGTGGCACGTTTAGAGATGGCAGGCAAAGATTGGATTCATGTGAGTCCACAAAAAGGCTTGTGCCACTGACTGTATTTTTTAAGAGATGGCTACATGGCCAGAGAACAGAGAATTCACATCTGAATTTTTGGATGATTTTATAATATCTATTTGAAGTCCATTCAAAGGAGAAAGAGGTCACTTTTTTTCTTAAGACTTGGTATTTATCCAGCCCTCACTGTAATTTTGTGATGGCAAAGCTTAGGGATGGAGAGGAAAGTGTTAAGATGGGAATAAATGTGGATGTCCTCTTGCAAACCTGAGTTAAAGAAACCCTACAAACCCCCCACACAAAACAAGGGGATGTGAGTTTGTCACTTTATCAGTCACCTCTTTAGATTTAGCAAGAGCAGTGTTTACCAGCCTGAAGTCTCTGAGCTATTTAACGGATCTACAGAGATCCCTAAAGAACCCCATCACATTATGAGCTCAGCTTAAATTACTGTACAGACCTCTATAGCTAAAAACCAAAAGGTTTAACTAACTGAAGGTTACTTTTTGTCTAGAGGTCTCCTGCATGCATAAACCTTGCAAAACAAGGCCCAAGAGCCCCATTTATCAACTATGGCTAAATGCATTTGTAACTTCATTTTTAATTCCATAATTTCATAGAAGTAAAACTACTATACACTAACAATTGTACTGCCTAGTGCTTCTGTTTCCTGCTCATAACAAAGCACTGCACATTATTGTACATTGTTCATTTTATCAGAGTGACAGATAACTTTTAATATACTTAAATACACTTACCAGCTACTTACTTTGCTGTAGGGTTTATAATAGAAGAGATGAAGTGCCTTTTTTTTTTAAGCTTTTAGGTTTTGAGGTTTTCAAAATCCATTTAATTCGGATTTTTAACTTCATTATACTTTATTGTTAAAGTTATCTGACTGTATTCTAAAAAATAGATTTAGAAACATCAGAACTGTATTCAGGGTGTCAAATGTTAGAACTGTAAGTTGTTTCTTTCAGGGAAAATATTACTTGTGAAAAGAGTGCATCAAGCACTTGTTGCTTTCATACTGGTGTGAACAAGAAAGGAAGAGGCAGTGTCTCCCTGCTCCCACTTTCCTGCATAATGATAGCTCTTATCTCTGCCTCTTTCCCATTTTATATCTCTGACAATACAACAGAAGATTTGTAAATAAGAAACCAGACACCTTGTTCTGTGCTCACACCTGTATTTTTTCCAACAGTAAACGAATCAATATTTCTGGAAAACTTAACACACCCTTCCCCATTATAACAGTAGTTTCATTGACAATATACTTCTCCACCCAGAAACAGTTCTCAAAACAAATAGGCCAAACTGGCACTTGTGGAACACTGTACTGGCACCAAGTGAGAAATTTTAACTGTGCTCACCACTGAATTGCATATTTCCACCTCAAACAAGTGTAAGGACCACCTGTGGAAACAAAAGGGAAAAAAAGCCTTTAGAAACCTCCTCATATTAAAAAAAATCAGGGGTGACTCAGTTGCCTGTCACACAATCCCTGAAGAGAGATACTAAACTCTTAATGTTACGTGCAGAAAGTCATGTAAAGTGGCAGGTAGATAGCAAATACTTAGAGAGTACAAAAATAATGCAAAATTTCCATAAAATGGGAAGGCTTAGACTGATTAGTTTTTTCCCTAAACTCAAACCAGGTCACCAGTATTGTGGGGAAAAATTTAAAAGACCTCAACACAATGCACATTTATACAGTGCTACTCTATTAGTTAACGATGAGACTGGAGTGACTACACAGAAAAGGGGCTCTGATTAAGGTTAATAATTATTTTATTTAAAAAGGGCTATTTAATATAAATTTCTTAACTGAGCAGTTTGCTACTGTAGTAAAAATGACTGCTTTAAAAGCTGGCTAGTTGTTGGGTCTGAGAAGGTGACATCAAATTGGAAATCATTATTCAACAGGGGAGTAACAGCTGTCAGGGGACATACCCTTGTAAGCACCCTTCACCCTTTGTTATTGAAGTTTAGTCAACAGTTTAAAAGAAAACACAAAGTCACTGCTAGTAAAGCTTGCAGTTGACCCAACTGAAGTAGTAAACAATAATGAAGATGGACAACTGATCTACACAAGTCCCTTTTGCCTGGTAAGCCGTGCTATTTTGGGCAACATGTTTCATCACAACAAAGCACAAGGCCACCCAAAACTAACACAGAGGACACCCACATAAACATAAATAAGGTTCACTGAAACCAGCTTCAAGCCCTGAGGGCCAACAGCAGTGCAGATGAGGCTTCAGGAATCAGACAGGATATTCAGCTGAATAGGCTCTTCCAGAAACTACTCTGTCTGTATGAGCAAGTGGCCTGAAATGGCAGGGAAGTGTACTTCCACTACATCCAGTGGCAATATTTTCTGTTCTGTTGTTTAAAAGCTACCAGCAAACCGAAAAAAGATCGGTAAATAGTTTTGAGAATAACCCGTGGTTTGGAAAGCTTGCTCTGAATTGAGAATCGAGCTGTGCAAATATATGTATATTTTAAGGCCACAGTAGTCTTACTTAGATAAAGGTTTTAAAGGGATTGCATTTATGCTCAGATTGCTCATTTTCTGAGATTGGTTGCTCAGTCAGGCTACATGTGAAGCACAGCACTTAGACACACATCCCAGATACAGGTATGTACCCCTAGGTCCAGAATAAACTCCAGAATAAAATTAAGATATACATCATCCTTCCTAAAAGTCACTGGTAAAAACAAGATGATGAAATATTCTAATAATTCTTCATTGAGCAATTAGAGAACCAGGACTGCAGAGCATCCTCAAGTCTATCTCCCTGGCTTTAAACTTCAACTCATTGACCTTGTTACCAGGTTCAACATATCTCAGCTCTCTGCTCTGCTTATTATAGGGCTCAGACACACACCCAAGATCATCAGCCGGTAAGCTGAGCCCCAGTTGCTGTCTGTGCATCCACTTGCAGCCACAACAAGTGACAGGTGCATCTACTCCAGCTTTTCAGCTTCATCAGGACTACCTTTTTTGAAGCAAATTTCCCTGTTATCCTGATTGACCATATGTTGTTTCTTAGGATGGAAGTTTGGGGGTTGTACAAAGTAAACTGCTTTCAGATTAAATCGAAGGAGGAGATCTAATATTCCTTTCACTGGTTAAGGCACTGATTGGAATTGCCATGTGCTGCAGGCACCCATGGCTGCTCCAGCCCCAGCAGCATTCCACAGCTACCACCAACCCACAGTAGTGACTATCCCACGCTTTCCCCCCCACATACCTGTGCCTCTGGGATGTGATCTCTCATCAAGGCATCACAGCACCCACTCCTTGCTCACTCACAGATTCAGCCCAAGTCTTTACAGACCCTCCTGAAGAGCCCCTGGACAGCCCCCAGTCCCTGCTGCTTGTGAACTGGTGTCAGGAGGTCCTGGATTCTCCGTAGTGCTCTGATGATAGCAAACATCCTGGCTGAGTTCCTCACAAAAGGAACTTTCCCCTAAGATTAACATTTCTGTGGATTTGAGGAATTGCTCAGCCCTTGACGTTTTAATCAGCAAAGGGCACTCCTGACAGTGGGAAATTCCAGATGCAGTGGTTACCTGGCAATAAAAAGAAATTACATACTTCAGGTAAATCAGATAATGAGAGTCCTGACAGAGGGGGAGCAGGAAAGCAACACAGGCAGCACCAGGGGACAGCGGGGTGAAGCTCTTCAATGTGCCCCAGGAGCAGCTGTGCCTTGACAGGTTCAGCACTAACAGTACAGGCTCAGTTTTGCTGTGTTATACTGGAATTGCAGGCATTGAAAAACTAAGAAAATCTTTATGGACATATTTTTCTAGTAGTGAGATCCAATTCACAAATTTTACAGCGTAAAACCACTTCTTCTTCCTAAAGAAAACTCCAACTCAAAGCAGACAGGAGAAACGAGTGCCTGAGAAAGCCAGGGCTGCACTATAAGGCAAGAGCAACCACTCATTTTGGAAAAATCTTTTGTGCTTTACAATCAAATGTGCCCTGTTTTAAGCTCCTAAGAAGTGGATAAAAGTTTCTTACTGTCCCCTTTATGACCAAGTTGTATTTCTGCTAACAAAGGCAGCTTCTGTTTCCCAGTGGGGTCCTCAAAGGCTTTCTGCCTTTCTTCCTCTGAGAGAAAACTGTCCACTGAACACAAATTTTACCAGGAAGATCCTGGAGCTGTTCTTGGGATTTTTATTTTGTTTTTTAATTTTTGCCAGAAATCTGAAAAGTTTTGGTTTACATGTGTAAATTATTTGCTCATTTGTGTAGGTTTACAGTAAAGACAAACAAACAAAGCCAGAAACAATGACAACTTGCCTGGCAAGGCAGTCTATTTATTGTTGAGTAAGCTGGCAGTATGCTGAGGCTAAAATAACACAAATGATGATGGGATATTCTACCCTAGCAGCACCCTGCTATAATTTATCACACAATCTGCCCCTGCCCATTTTTTGGGCACTGCTATCTCCTGTCTTTTATTCCCCCAACAGAAACACCAAAAAAAAAAAAAAAAAGGATAATACAAAATGGACTGAGAGGTCCTTTCAACAACTTTAAAAGGAAATTCAATGCCCTTGTCTATTTTTTTTGAATGCTACCAAGGAGTCTGTTTAAAAAATCATGTAACTGAGCTGCCTAGAAATTCCTGTAGAGCTGCTAACATTGTCGTTTGTACTTTTGCTTTTTGATATACATCACTGAAGTTATGGAACAGGTAGCAGTTTCTCTCCTGAAACAGCTCTAATGGTAATCTATGACAGAACTGACCCCAAATTCTCAAACACTTAATAAAGAAACAGAAACAAGTTTTCTTCTCACAATCCAGGTATCCCATTATGCTATTTCACATGTTGCCATAACGGCTGTTTACATGTCACTCAAAATTCCTCATGGCATCTACATTAAATATTTACATTCAGGCCTAGGATGTTCTGTAAAATTTTCATAGCATACCCTCCTATTTAAAAAAAAACCCAGCATACCCTCCTATTTAAAAAAAACTGCACTTCAACCCAAATTCTAGCTCATATATGAAGCAACACATTCTAAACACTGTCCAAATTGTCATATCTTCCCAAAGCACAAGGAAGTTTATGCTCTTGTCTAAGGGGAGCTAAACAGAGCAGCATACCACTCCATATTTGTAAATGTTAACTCTGCAAGGTAGGGACTGGCTTCTGTATGCACCAGGCTTCTGGTCCTTCCCTGCTCCAAGAGCCATAATATGACATATGGGTATGTGTAAATTGAAGCAGCAAAGATATATGTGGTGGCCCTGCCACAGAAAAACGTGCACTCTCACTCTTCATGCCAAATATCACCCTGACTCCAAGAATCTTTTCAATGTTGCTTCCAGAAATGGGTCTTAGGTACCAGCCTAAGACCCATTTGGCTTAATAATGGATTTGGGATAATTCCATGAGTCTGTGGGGCAGCTGTACCCTCAAATTTGGTGTATATCAGAAGTAGCTTCCCTAGAGTCAGTGGGGACTGTCTCTCCTGTTGTGAGTGTAGTATGAAGAGTATAGAACCATGCTACTTCTTTAAAAATGTTCAAGAAAATGCTGTGAGAATTAATAAGGATAACACACGTAATCACCAACTGAATATCATATAAGGCCAAAGTACTCATACCAACAGGTAGAAGACTGAGATCAAAGAACCCAAGGACAGCCCTTTTTTGTGTATGTGTCACTCTAAAATAGACTCCTGCAAGCATCCTGATTAATATAACACACTCTTTGCCAAATATGTTCTTTAAAAATAGCAGTCAACTGTACGGCATACCTTGAGTGGTGTTAAAGCTGTCTAGGTTTTGTTATACAAAGACCATGGTAAGTTATAACATGCTGCCAGTGGAAAAAGGAGTGAAACAGCAAAAACTGAGCTGCATAAGATTCTTGAATGAGAACTTAGCAGGGAAGGTTAAACCATAACAGCCATGACATAACTATAATAAATTAGGGCACTCATTGAGATGACTAAACATGGATTTAGGATCTCCAGGGATACAGATGTTTATAGCTTGGCAACTAAATCTACACTTGGGCATCCAAGGAAAAAAATGCCCAGTATACCAGGAGTCTTTATACCTACAGCCCTAACAGAATGTAGATCTTGACATTCTGCCCAAAGAGGCCTGAATTTATACACTCTTCTCAAATCTTGGTGTAGATTTCAGCTCTAGTAGTCTTTTATTTTCAGAGAAACTAATGAGGTTTTTGGCATTTCTTCTAAACAGTGATCAATTGATTATTGTCCCAAATTTCTATGTCTCCCAGTTTTAAAATAATAAATCCAGGCTGTCTGACATCTAGCTCATAAGATCAGTAAAGCAGACGGTTTGCATTTGTTATTTCTGGCCAGAACAGTATTAACCTCACCTGCGACAAGTTACCAGGAATTTGTTTATGACCAATACTATTGATTCTTTTTCTTTGGTACAGATAGAAGTAAGCTGAGGACCTGGTTGCTGCTGTTTTCAAATGAATGCTAATCATGCAATTTGGAATTTGTTTTTGACTCATTGTAGGTTCGCAGCAAAAGCAAAGCAGCCAAGGCTGGGCTGTGTGAGGGGGATGAGGTGGTGTCCATCAATGGCAAGCCCTGTGGAGACCTGACCTATGCTGAAGTCATTGTTCTCATGGAAAGCCTGACTGACGTCCTGCAGATGCTTATCAAGAGGTACAGGAATGCTCAGAATGCTTCGATGCAACTCAGGGAATCACCTGGAAAATGCTGCCTTTGAACACACTCATTTTACAGACTTATATTGGGAGCTTCTGATAGTCCTGTTGCTAATGTCTGTGACCCTGCTTGTCTGTATGGAAAAGGTGGGAAGACAGAGTATTTGAGCTGGAGGAATTAATGTACATGATTTCAACAGCAGTGTTTGGGCACAGAATTAAGAATACAGTCTCTCAACATAAGTATTCTTAATATTTGCAAACTGCAGAGCCTTGAGTTCAAATATTCTCTCTCCCCCTTTGAAGCAGTGAAGTGTTGTTATTCCCCACAGATAGGGAAGTGAGGCTTACAAAAAGCAAAGGCTGTATAGATGGGGAAAGTGTGTTACACAGATATGCCTTGATGATGACATGGCAAATGGTCTTCTTGGGTGGCAGAATGCGTTAGGAGTCAGAAGGGGGAGAGGGTCTGGAAGTCAGGAATTCTATTTCTGTAGCTGTTATCACCTCCCTAGATGAGGTGGGGCGAGTCACTTACAGCTCTCTGGGTCTCAGCTTCTGCGTTTATAAAACAGTGAGAGTGAATTTCAATTTTCTTTGCAAATGCTTTGAGTTTCTTGGAGAATCTTCATGTAAATTTGCAAATCTGCTCACTGCACATCAGTCTACTCCAATGCCTGTCCACCTCCTGCAAGCACACTCTCCCCAGACTTTGTGAATTCAGACAAGATGACCCCTGAATTGCCTTCACTGGGGGTAAGAAGAGGAAGAAAAGACTTGAAACTTCCACACATGCTCCTTGTAAGGACTTAAGGGTACCATTTGAGTGCTCCTCATATGATACCCGCATTCTTATGTTTTTAATTCATAATGTGACTACGAGAATTGCACTTGTAAAAATGGTATTTGTGGCTGACCACTTGTCTTTGCAGCCACAGAAATAGCTCCACATGCTTTGACTCCTGCCTGTTGCTGTTCTAGAACTGATATTTCAGTTGTCTGAAGGCCGCAGGACACTCTGGCTGAGAGGGACTCTCCCCTGGCCCTGCTTGAATGTATGGTGAACAGCAAGGCACGTCCTGAAAATCAAAACCAAAACACTGCTTAGACCACCTAACTCAGTGTTTCATGGAACGAAACCATGTCTAGTAGAAATATTAAGGAAATTGCAGTTGCTCAACACTCTGAAAGGGACAAAATGTTCTAAAGGAATTCACTGTGAGAATCTTTGAATTTCTTCTCCCCAGCTCATCTTTCCCAAATCCCAGCCCCTGCTGTCAGTATCTTCCCAAGTATGGGAGAATAGACTGAAATATTTCTCTTCCCCTCCCACCTTGTTTGTGGTACTATCCCTCTTAGCATTACCACCAGAAGGACTTTTCAGGAAGTGTCTTAGCATCCTCTGAGAGCAATGAGAAGCAAATCCTTCCTTTCCTGAGTAGCCACTTGTTAGCAGCCACCTCAAGAAAACTCTTGAAATCACGAGGAAAGAATAATTACAGTGGCATTCCAATGGTGATCTTTACATCTAAGTATCTTTTTTTGGCAGGGAAGAATATTTTCCATTGGGAATATTCTGGTTGTTCCTGAACCATTTGCATGAGGTTTTCACAGGCGTTAATTGTTGGCCCAATTTTGCTCTTATTAATCTTACTGGGAGGCAAATTAGGCTTCCAAAGTAGTTTAAAAAAATGCTACTTGGCCTTTGATGTCTACAAAAAGTTTTCCCAATTCCCTGTAAAGCACAGTCAGTTAGTGAGTAGCAGAGCCCAGAAAATGTCCTGTTTGCAGGATCAGAGGAAAGCGACGCCCTGCAGGGCGGGCACTCTCCAGATGCCATGTGGGGGAGCATCTCCTGACCTTCCCGACAAATGCTGAACAGATGTATCCGGAAAAACACGGGGAGTGGGGACTGAAACACCAGCCTGCCCTTTTCACATCACTGTGAGCGACTCCTGGGCTACTGCTGAGTCTAGAAAGAACATTTCCAGGGGGAAGGAGGGAGTGTGCTCAGTGCATACCGACATGAAATGCACCATGTAGGGAGTAAAACATGAGTCTGAGACAAACCCTGCCGTGCTGACTCCGTGGGTTCTGCTTCCTTCCTGGAATTACACCAGGGCTGTTGCTCCTGCAGCGAGCTGGAAAGGCCTGAAACAAAAGTAATTAATAATTTGACAAAACAGAATCTTAAATGACAAAAAAGAGGTCAGACCCAGTATTCTGCCTTTTGACAGAGGATAACAGTTATGTCTATATAGAGTAGAAGTATATCCATACGTAGCAAGGGCCTTTTAAGGTGGAAATCTTTCCCTCTCACACATACACACAATCACTCAGCTACCAATAAAGGCTAACATTTAGCTGGCCCAGCCCCCAGTCCATATCTTACATGGAAATGTTTACAGATTTCTGTAATTTATCTGTGCTTGAGAGCAGTACAATTGATCATCCAAACAGCATAATCTGATGGGATCCAGCAGCACTCACAAGGAGCTCCCTAAATTAAAATCCGTCTGACCTTTATGTAGCTCCACATGTGGTGAAATGGATGTTACACATTTTGTGCTGTTTGAGGCAGACCCAGACTGCCACAAATGGTGTGCTGCATGGCTAGAAAAGCAAGTGATATTGGAGCTTCTTCAGTGCACTGACAGATTTATTTCTTCTGTTGCTTCTTCCAGCCTTTCTTTTTAGGGAGTTTCAAAGTTTCAGAATACCCAGGACTGCTTTTGATTTCAAAAATCTCCATGATATCTAATATTAATACTTTACTGAGGGAACTTACTGCTTCTCTCATTTGAAAAAGTGTTTCGCTACCTTCTAGTCAATAGAATAGCATCCTGTAGTCTTGCTGTACAGAGAAGGTTTCTTCTCAAATTAATAGTAGTCAGTATGGTCCAGAGTACTGAGAGAAGGAGTTAAAGAGTAATACCAGTAAAACAGCCTAACTGGGCCAGGGGAATTAAGAGTTTAGGGAAAGGAGCTACACTGAGATATTTAGCAGGCTTCAGGAAGTGCAAACAGCATTTTCCAGTTAGAAATACATATTTTTAAATAACTAAGAAATATTGCATAAGTTCCCCACCCTTTTATGCTGGATCACTGGAAGAGGCCCAGAGTATTTTAATTGATCCATGATATATAAGGACGATGATCCTCACAGGAATTCTTTGAATGTGTATTTTAAGTATTCATTCCCCTCCCTCTGATCCTCATCCAGTTCTTATGTATCCCTTAGAGAGTGAGCTGTGTGGTACAGAACTCCATGTGAGGATGGTGCCTAACACAGTTGCAGCAGTGGCCACAGAGCCAAAAATTAACCCCTGTTCTGGTGTCATGCAAAGTTAATTTTCTGATGAACATGTGAAATATTGTCCCAGAAGTCTCAGCAGCATTTGTCTGGAAACCCTATAACAGAAGTGTGTCTGTGAAAGTACACTGATGTTAGGAATGATACAGTTCTACCACTGGGGTGTAATTTCCCTCTTACTGAACTGTTATGTTGGAGAATCTTGAACAATACAAAGATGCTTCAATTTAAGACCTCTACATTCTGGGAAAATTCTTCTATTTATAGGGACCTGCTAGCAGGTACCACAGTTAATATAAGGGGTGAAATTCTCTAGAGAAACTGCTTTTGTAACTGTACTTACAATGGCTGCGCTTACAGAAGCTTAATTTTTGGAATTACTTGTTTATGTATGTGCAGATCCTCCAGTGGAATAAATGAAACCTTGAGTGCTGAAAGAGCAAATGGAAAGCCCGAGAACATAAAAAATGAGGACTATAGGGAGAACACCACACTGCAAATTAACACGGCGAAGGAGATACCCCGTGGAGATTTATGCATCACAGAGATATACAGTGGGACTCACCAGGGAGCAGCAGAAAGCAACGTAAACTTTTCTGAGACAAAACAAGAGACCACACAAAGCCCCAGAATTACTCCTAAAGTGATAGGCACCTCCAAAGTGCTCGTGGCAGACGAGGCTGCTCTCAGAGGGAAGACAGAAGAAAGAAGGCCAGGGACTGTGGTTGAGCTGCAGTTGTCCCTCTCCAATGACACCCACAAGGGCACCAGTGCTCCTGCTGTGACTCTCCTGGGAGCAGAGAAATGCCCCCCTTCAGCAAGAGGAGCCAGTGTACAACAGGATGGGACCAGCCCCCTCATCACAATTCCCCTGGGTGTGAAAGAGGGCAACGTCCAGTGGTCAAACAAAGTAGTCCAATTTTCCAGCAGCAAAGAGGTCAAGAGGATCCAAGGTGCAGTTCCATCTATCCCCAGGGTGGAGGTGATCCTAGACTGTTCAGACAGGGAGCAGGAAGCACCCAGGTCTCTGTCTGAAAGGGGGTGTGTTGATTCTCAAGCAGAAGGAGGGCAGTCAGAAGCACCTCCTTCCCTCCTCTCCTTTGCAATCTCACCAGAAGGCACAGAGCAGGGAGAAGACAACAAGCCCTCGGAAAAGGAACACAGACCTCTCAAGCACAGGGCAAGGCACGCAAGTAAGTATGTCCCATCTAATCATTTGCACTGCCTGAGGGCATCTTTTGTAACTTTAGATATAATTTCAGGATTTAGAAGGCATTAGAAAGAAATGTTTAGAGATTTTTTTTTCCTGCAGTTTTCTAACTTTCCCTCTATTTTTTTCTTTTAAAGAATGTTTCTGTTCTTGCTTTAGATATTCTTTCAGGGTAATACAATGCTCCTGGTCATGAGCCAAGGGTATACCCACGCCTTAACTGTGCTGAATAACTGTGCTTACTAGACTTCCACTTTGAAAGTAACTCATGACTTTGTCCAACTAAAAATACTTACATCTCCAGAAAGGGCTGAACTCTGCCCGTCTTCTAATGCATATTCAGAGGCAATCTGTAGAATATTAACAAAAAGAGCAAGTTGCTTGCACATGTGAATCCTGGGGATTTCTACTTTCATAGCAAAAGCTTTGTGTTGCCATTTGCATTATCTAGAATCAAAGCCATGCCACTGCTCTGAAAAGTTAATAAAAAGGGCCAGCAGAAAAGCTTGATGTTGCCTGCAGAAGAGATTTTGACAGACACTAGCATGTGTATAACTGTTACATGATCCTTTTGGTTTTGTCAGCCTTCTCCAGACTGTAAAGTGAACATGCTATTTCTCCTGACTCCCATACCCAGAGGTCAGCTTCAAAATGTGTCCAAGAAGTTTACATGGAAGTAAACTTGCCACTGGAGCCAGTATTAATTAACCGGGTGTAGATGTGTATTATTTACTAATTAACCTATTTATTTATTTATTTATTATTTTCTTCATCTGGGACCTCCTTGTTGGTGGCTCGCTCCTTCCCAACAATGTGAAGAATCCTGTCTGGGGATTTAGCAGCAGTATGTCAAAGGTGCTTGAATGTGTGCAGTGATATACTGTAGCAACAAGCTATTTCATATGCAGTGTTGGAACTCCTCAGCTAACCCACTGCTAATTCCTCTGGAAGCATATTTTTAGCATGACAACCATTTGTGTCTTATTGGCAAGTGGATTAAGCAGTGACTTATGCCTAAGTGTCTGTATGCAACCCACATATTTTGGGCATATTAAATGAAGTACAAAAGAAAAGCGCACATGCTTCACATTTTGGCTGCGAAGTCAGAAGCAACTGTGGGACTGTGCCTGTCTTTCTTAAAGAATTAATTGCAGTGCCAGTCTGAAAAGGCAAAAGTACAAAGCATGAACTAAATTTTACCTGATAAATTCTTCTTTCAAGCAGGACATAGATCCAATTCTTTTCCCGTGTCAACTACGATAATCTCAGTCTCTTCTCATCTAGTAGCAGGTCACTATCCTTAGGAATCACTGATTAAATCTGTAAAATTTTTTGCATTATTATTATTATTATTAAAATCCTATCTACATTTTAGAATGAACAAATTGCTGAGCACAGGGAATACTCTGTGTGCAGCAAATACTAAGCATGTTTTCTGCAAAAATAGAAGTTATAATGCAGCACTTCAGTCTGAGCTAGAGAAGAACAGTTATTACAGGTGCTTGATCTCTTTAGCAGGAATTTCCTCTGCAAATAATAATCAGATTATATTTACCTGAACAGGTAACACTATAACACTACAGCCTGTACTTTTGGAAATAGTCTGCAGTGACTACTGTAACCATTTGCATGGTCACAGGACTGAGCCAAGGATTTTGTGATTTGACTCTCCCACGATAAAATATTACAAATTGCTGGTTTGGGTGCCATGCTCTTTTTCATAGTTCTTGTGAGAACCATTGGTCCAGTCGTGCTGCCATCTGGCATAATGGCAAAACTCCAATTGTCTTTAATAGGAGAAGTATCAGACTCCATCTACTGACACAGCTAAAAGGATCATGAATAGACAACACCTCATCACATGGCTTTCTTTAATAAGTTTGCTTTATTTATGCTTGCAAGAGATACTAAATAATTTACTGTTCTATTTTTTTATATTAGAGGCACATTTTTTCCTTTTGAAATTAGGTGGAGGGGATCATCGATCTCAAAAGGAAGAGCTTTGAATTCCAGCTTTTTTTCTGAAGGGAGAAGCTATTGAGGCTGTCACTCATGAGATGCAGTGGTAGAGTATGAGGAAAGGAAAAAAACAGGGACACCACCTGACCAGCATTGCCCCATAAGGCACATGCTCCATGTTCCATAACGAGGAAGCAGTCAGGCTGATGTAGACAGCATCCATCAGCTTTACAGCTGCATCTGTTCCCCTTCCACATGACTTGATGAAAACCAGTAATTTATGCTTTAAGAAATATGTACCATTGATATATGCTAGTGAATACTCTTGAGAAGTCAGTCGTGTATTCACTCTTGCCACATTTTCAAAATAAATATTCTGGAGCTCTTACATCCTACAGGATTTTGGATTATATTCCAGGCAGGTAACGCTTGTTAAAAGACTGAAACCTGCTTTCCTTGAGCCAAACTCCCACATCTTCCAAGGGGCAGAAAGTTGATGCTAATAATTTTCTGTGTATGCCTTTTTGGATGTATCCTTGCTTTTAAATAGCTAATACATAAAAGCATCCTATAGCAACCATACACATTTTGTAATTTATAGGAGTAAAATAAACACCTAAATGGCAGAAGGTGCTACCACTGTGTGACAGAATATGCTCGGTTTCATTTGGTCTCAGATATTAAACAGTCTGGCTTGCTGGGAATGGCTGCTGGAAGCCCAGGAATTGTGGTCAAACACTCAGTAAATACCTGACCAGAAATTGGATGAGTGAGAAAACATCACCTGCCTGTTGCTGCTGAGATTACTTGTGGAAATAAAAATTAAGAATGCTAGAAATAAAGACACATGTAATATCCCTATTGAACTAAGAGAGTCCTAAAGAAAGCAATGAAGCCCTTGAACTTGCATGGGTGTGACTCTAAGGAATGCTGGGGATGGAATTTACCACACAGCTGATACCGGGAGAAAAGCTGAAGTATAATGAGCTTTCCATATAGAAGAAAATAAATGTTTTACTATGGGAAAAGGGGAGGGTGGATAACACTCAGTATAGATAAATGCAGCAATTGTAATTGTGTGGGATGCTTGTAAATAAATGTGTCCTTTGATTCCCTCCACAGGGCTCCGACGAAGCGAGAGCCTGTCAGAGAAGCAGGTCAAGGAAGCCAAATCTAAATGTAAAAGTATTGCACTGCTGCTGACAGCAGCTCCCAACCCCAATTCCAAGGGGGTGTTGATGTTCAAGAAGCGCCGCCAAAGGGCGAGGAAATACACTTTAGTGAGCTACGGGACTGGGGAGTTAGAACGGGACGAAGACGAGGGTGAGGAGGGCGAAGGTGAAGAGGGGGACAAAGAAAACACCTTTGAAGTGAGTTTGCTTGCAACCAGCGAGTCAGAAATAGATGAAGATTTCTTCTCTGACATTGAGAAGGACGGCAAGGTTGTGACCTTTGACTGGGACAGTGGTCTACTCGAGGTTGAGAAGAAGACAAAGAGTGGAGAGGAGATGCAGACGCTCGCAGACAGCACAGGGAAAGGGGCCCTCATGTTTGCCAAGAGACGGCAGAGGATGGATCAGATTACGGCCGAGCAAGAGGAGATGAAGGCCAGCACAGTGCAGACAGAGGAACACAGGGAAACCACCGTGACAGAGAACTTCCAGAAAGTAAGCTCTTCAGTCTATCAATCAAAGGAGGAGGAAACATCGAGGCAGCAGACCTGCGTGAGCAAAAGCTACACAGACGTGAGCCAGAACCACAGCAAAATGGTGCAACAAAATGGCTTTGGCTTAGCACCAGGCACAAACCTCCCTTTTCAGTCCTCTGGAGCCCCCAGAGCACCATCTTTGAATATAACAGCTAAACCCTTCCCTTCTGGGGTTCAAAACCGAGCAGCTGCACCATTTTCACCCGTAAGAAATGTCACTAGTCCTCTTTCAGATGCAGCAGCGCCGCCTCCCTACTGCTCTGTCAGCCCACCAGCCGAGGCTTTCTACAGACCTGTGTCAGCTCCTGTGGCCAGCAAGGCTGCCCCAAGCATGTGGGCACCCACGGAGCCCACGGAACACATAGCATCCAGGGATGAAAGGATTGCCGTGCCAGCCAAAAGAACTGGCATACTGCAAGAGGCAAAGAGAAGAAGCACTTCAAAACCCATGTTCAACTTCAAAGATGCACCCAAAGTAAGTCCCAATCCCGCCCTGTTGTCCCTTGTACACAATTCAGAGGGCAAAAAAGGTGCTGGAGCTGGTTTTGAGTCAGGACCTGAAGAAGACTACCTCAGTTTGGGAGCAGAAGCTTGCAATTTCATGCAGACTCAAGCATCTAAACAAAAGGCCCCTCCTCCTGTTGCTCCAAAACCTTCACTCAAGGTCTCTCCCTCTGCCGGTGCTCCAGTTTCACCGGTTTGGTCACCTTCAGCTGCGGCTGCTAACAAGGCTCCTTCTTTCCCAGCACCAGCCTCACCTCAGGCAGCATATCCCGCACCACCGAAATCTCCACAGTATCCTCATTCTCCCGCCCATCCCCCAAGTACTCTCAACTTAGCTGGTCCTTTCAAAGGGCCCCAGGCGAGCCTGGCAAGTCCCAACTATGCCCCAAAGCCAACCCCAGTCACACCAAGTGCCAGGGAAACGAAGCCACCCTTTGAGATGCCACCGGCCATGAGCGGGAAAGGAGCACAGCTGTTTGCCAGGAGGCACTCCCGGATGGAGAAGTATGTGGTGGATTCAGAGACTGTGCAGGCAAACATGGCACGAGCCCCATCTCCAACTCCATCTTTGCCAGCTTCTTGGAAATACTCATCCAATGTCCGAGCGCCTCCACCCGTTGCTTACAATCCCATCCACTGCCCATCTTACCCTCCTGCTGCTTCCAAGGCTTTCTCCAAGTCTGCTGCTGCCACCACCAAAAACACAAAAAGAAAACCTAAGAAAGGTCTCAATGCTTTGGATATTATGAAACATCAACCTTATCAACTCGATCCCTCTTTATTTACTTTCCAACCTCCTAAGGAAAGCCTTGCCATGAAGCAGACATCGAAGCTGCCCCCTTCCAAGCAAGCTCTACCTTTGCCTACCTTCCTCCCACCCGGTGCTGGCTCTCCCACCAGGGCCCGGCCATCTTCAGTGTACTCCGTGCCAGCCTACGGTTCCCAACCTCCGTTCCAGTCAAATGCCTCTCTCCCAGTAAACGAATCATATTCACCTCCAGGCTACTCTGCATTTTCTAAGCCAGAAACCACCACCCCCTCTTTGTTTACTGCTCCGAGGCCAAAATTTTCAGCCAAGAAAGCTGGAGTCACTGCACAGGTGTGGAAGCCATCAGTTATTGCAGAGTAAACCTTAGAGCTCAAACTTAGTGTCCACGTTGCTTGCAGTCACTGGTTTGCAGTGGTCACCCGGCACACCAACGGTGCCAGTGGTATTATTCCTTAGCTCACCTAACAATGTCAGATGTATCACCTCAAATCTGGGTCCAAAGTCATTGAACTTTTTTAAGGAATCAAAATAGATACAAATTTTAGCACATTTATGCGTATCGCCAGGTGCTTTATAGACAAACATTCTGAAATGAAGAGATGCCATTGCCTGAAGTGAGCAGGACACTAGGTTTTTGCTTTAGGATTACAACAGAAACAACAGTAAGCAATATTCCTGATATGCCAAATTAATAGAGAAGAGCTTTCTTTCTGTCCCTCTCCCCAGCTGTGTTCTAATGACCTAGGGATTTGAGGACTTTGGTGGTTGGTTTTTTTTTTAAAGAAGTGCCTTATTATCTAATAGTAATATCTATTATTAACATAGCATCAAATAGACACAGTATTAGACTCTGACTGATCTCTAGCAGAATACAACTGGATAGACCTTTAGCCTGCACAGAGAGCCACGGAATTCACTCAGGATCTCTCCTGGCTCAAAGGTCCTTCCGCAGGAATCTGATTGATCAGCCAGGGGCTTAGCTTTTAAGCTATGTGGATCAGCTGTGATCCAAAAATCATGAATTGCCTCTGTGATTTCACAGAGAACGTGCTTATCAGAGATGCTGGAGTGTTCTGAAGACTAAAAGAGGTGGAAAGACAGCTGGACAAATTGTTAGAGATTTCCCATTTTGGGGAAATTTGACATCCCACGTGCAGGCATATTTTTAGCCAGAGTTTGCCTCGAACCCAGCAAGTAAGAGAGGAGTCTGTAAATCCAAATTAGGGAGCAGTCAGAGAGGGGAGCTGGGTTCTGCAGCTGCAGTGTAATGCACCAGTTTCTTGTGAAAGCACAGTGATTTAGAATGAAGGGCTACCTATAGTCAAGAGCACTGATTCTTGCACCCAGAGTAGTAACTGACAGTAAATCATAATTATGACT